AGACATCTTTTATTTAAGGGATAATCCAGGGTACATCAGTGCAGAAATACTGTGCCTTCATAAGCATTACAGTGGTGTCCATAAAGAAGGTACTGTAATGCTATCTGTTATACTAGTAATGTCATCTTCATGAGGAACTTCACGAGGAGCTTACAGCTTTACCCATATAGAGCATCTGAAACTGTGTCTCATTGGTTTTTCCGTTTGCTTAGATCATCTCTTTAGTGTGTCTCTTACAGTTCGTTCTCTATGTACAAGGAATTTATACACAGGCTGTAGATGAACCAGGTTGTGATCTAAGACCCCCTGGAGAGGAAGGGGGCTGTATTATATGCATTCCTTTACTGTTTGCATACAGTCAATCCTGGGTTCTATTAGACTTAGACGTAGACTCAACTTTATTTATCCCTGGGGATTACTCCTTCAGGGAAATTCTGGTTCCAGTAGCTTACATAGAGTATAAAGGGCAGAGTTAAAGCAAGATGCCATTAAAGATAAAAATACAACAGACAATATAAAAAGGGTGTATATAGTACAACAATTTTTATACTGTCTGTTGTATTTTTATCTTTAATGACTTTTATGCTGCAACTGCAAGAGAACACCTGCTGTAAAAATATTCTACTGTTCCTAACAAAATGTATATGCAATATGAAGTTGAGAGTTCAAACTCAGCATTGTTAGTATTTTATTAGTATTGTGTGGATACATTTTTGCTTTGTATCCCCTAGAATATATAGATCCTACCCTTAACCCTGAGCTTTACAAAATATAGAAATCTACTTTCATTTTTGTAAGATACTTCATTCTTCTTCCCATTTTTTTCCCCCCATTATCTTCTTTTAGCCTTCCCCTCTCCTGCGCTCCCTTTGCTTTCTTACAGCCAGATTAAATAACAAACATCTTGTAGTTCTTAAAAAACGTTGTTTTAAATTTCTTGCTAATGTCCGCTTCCTCCTACTTTGTTTTTTTGTTTTTCTACTTTGTTAGTGGAAAAAAACTCAATTGTGGAGGCTTCTCCTTGAAGTAAGACCTTCAACATCAAAGACATGGTATTATGTCTAACAAGAAAACTGATAATTAAGACACTAAATTATTTTATTTTTAACTGGCCAAACACCTGTAAGAGCTGATCAGGTTGAATGTTTTCCCATTTTAAACACTGGTTATATGCCTGTGCATCTTTATCCTTTCCATCAAACCTGTTTGTTTCCCTCAACATCCCTTTTTTTTTTTTTATTATGTCTTTCAAATCTTTAAACCTTAACATACCAACCAGCAGTTGTAAGTTTCATTTGGCTTACACCCACAAAGCTAGAAAAGCTATATGATGCTCCATCCAAAAGTTATCTTATCATTCTCCAAACTTGGTAATCTTTCAGTGCTCTGAGATAAAGTTATGATGTTAAGTGAACAAAATGTGGAAACACTTAGCACATAGACTGTAATTAAATGGCTCTAAAAATCCCCAACACATGCTTTGAGAATTTGAACTGAATTTGGAAAGCTAGACCATTTAGCAATGAAAAACATTAAAACAAATGAGTGGAATTAAATATTCTTTCCCTGTTGGTAATCAGTGCTGCGGTGTAAGCAGACACAAAGAAGATTGATGTCAGATGTTTTTTGTTTTTTTTTTTACTGACACGCAGCAGGAAGAGTCAAGCCCACTCAGCATTGCATCAGATCAGCAAAGCAGTAAGAACAAGGTTTAAACAAGACTTGTCCCTGAACTGCAAAGATATGTACAACATTGTTCTTTCCAGTTCACAGAGCAATTATCTTAAACAAGGAAAAAGCCCTCAGGTGTGAGTATGTTATATAATAAAGAAACAATGGAAAAACCAGCTCCACCTGCTCATTGCTGCAGAACACTCTTTTTTGACAGCTAACCTGTACCACAGGATTGTTTCTGAGACAGTGTATCTGTCTGTCTGCTATAGTTTACCGGTATGTTTCTTTTATGTTCTTTTCTGTTCCTCTATGCTCTTTTGAACCATCAGTCAAACTCAATTATTTTCCAGATGCTTGTTGGGGAACATAAACTGCTAAAGATTTTTAGATCTCTGTAAGCATAGTTTAAATAGATGTTGAAATCTGAAAAAGAAAAGAAAAAAGCCTATCAATATTTTTCGGTTTTTAAAGTTGATTTGGCATACCAAGGAGGACGGGTCAATACAGTCTATCTACCAAATCTATCTATATATCTACCAAACTAATATCAGGTATCATACCAAGATCTAAATGAGGGCTTCCTTTACTGATTAGTATCAGCAGAATTCCCCTAACCAAACTGAGGTCCTGATCCTTGTTGCTGCTATCTTTAATGTTATACAAGCCACACCCCAAGGAAACCATGCAGCTGTGATCTATGGATATATATTGTTTTCTATAATTGCATGCTGTTTTTTAATGCATATGGCAACCAACTTTTCTATCATCGGTTTTTGGGAAGTTTGTTAAGTAATCTAATAAATCCTGTTTTTTTAATTGTTACTAATTACCCTAAATTGAACTGACTGCGACATAGGGACTCTACACTGTTGCCAACTTAGCCAACGTTGCCAAGTTGCCAACTTAATGTTGTTGCTAGATTATTTTTTTTTTCTTCAAAAAAGCACCTTGTGATAAATCTGGCATTTTTTTCCCGCATTGTCGGAGACTTTGGAAAGAATGTGAAAGCACCAATTACTCTGAGTTTACCGTCTTTAGCCAGCAATGAGTGAGCAAAACCCTCACGCCTCCAAAGCACTAACAAGCAGACGTCACTTAGCAGCAAGCTTTGATGAAGAAGAGAGGACCCATTAAAATTAGTCATACATGCGCAAGACTTCCACCAATCCCCCTGGTGAAAGATGTATATACATTAACTTAATTTTTTTTTTTGTCCTTAAACGGTTGCACTTCAATTATATACATTGGGATTGTAGTTTGGGTTCAGGTAAAATATTATTTAATACTTGAAATTAGAGTTGATATTTAAACATATTTAGAGTGTTTTAATCATGTTTTGTCTTGCTGGTGTTCATATTCCTGTCTCCTACGGCTAGGATAAAGGGATTACTAGATATGCATATTAGGTTATGACATAATCCAGCAACTTTTAGGACAGTCAATGATAGTTTTTCACTTAAAGATTATAGCAATATTGATAGGATAAATCATAAGATATTTCTATATGTTTTAGTTATCAGGCTCCTCTCCTCTGGAACCAACTACCATGTTTTAGTCGATGAGGCAGACACCCTGTCTACTTTTAAGGGTAGGCTTAAAACTTTCCTTTTTGATAAAGTTTTCTTATAGTAGCTTCACCTTGTTTGCTCCTGTTGGCTGTGACTCCATCCTGGAGAGAAATATCAGCTGTGCTGCTGCCATCAACACCTTTGTTTTTAGATGTTGGAGATTGGCCTGTTTTTCAGTGTAGTCCTGTTTCTCTGACTATGATCCTGTGGCTGGATGTGCTCTCTTCATCTTCTCACATGGGATTTGGCTCAGAGCTTGTCTGCCTGGCTGCGTGTTTCCTTGACTGGGCCGCCTTTTGCAGTTGCTTTTTGTATCTCTCCTTCTGTCTCCTTGAACCCCAGTCGGCCTCGGCAGATGGCCGCTCACACTGAGCCTGGTTCTGCTGGAGGTTTCTTCCTGTTAAAAAGGAGTTTTTCCTCTCCACTGTCGATACAAGCATGCTTAGTGTGAGTGATTGCGTTCGAGTCAATGAGTCGATGCAATCAACTGGTTTTCCTTAGATAGAAAACTTTGAATAAGTTTGACTGTATGATCTGGTGAATTGTAAAGTGCCTTGAGATGACATGTGTTGTGAATTGGTGCTATATAAATAAATGGAATTGAAACTGAATGGATTAGCCCCAAGTCTGTGTTATTAAATTGGAAATCCAAATGCTTGGAACTAATCTCTGTATTGGATTTTTACTTTCTGGACATGGATGTTACGCCTCTACAGGCTGGACAAATCAATAATTTGAATGAGATTAAATGTTTTAATTTAAAACTTAACATCATAAAACCCTATAGGAAACGTAAGACCCAAGGTTTCCTTAATAAAATAGTGACTTAAAGCCGAACCGATAAATGTCTTTTCTTCTGATGTACTGTAACCATATAGGGTGACACAGCTTGTGGTTCAAGCCTCTTTTATGCAATGTCATTAATATAATTGTAAAACTCAAACTAGACCCTGAACCCTTACACAAATAGGGAAATCCGGGTGGGCAAATTCTGCCTTTTACATCAGAGTAATAAAGCTAGGAAGAGTTTTTTTCTGATTTCTAGGTACCTTTCTTGTAGCAATTATGACAGTAAGCACAGTTTTCATATTTTCAACATTGGATACATCTTAGATAAGACTCCAAGCTAACCATTGTCTGCTCACCATGCTAAGTAACTAATATTAGCATTTAAATTGTTTCACTATAAAGCTATTACCTTGACAAAATGCTGTATTAAATTATAATTGCAGTAAATTATTTCACCATATGCCTTAATCCATCATCCATTCCAACAGATGCTATACTTTCCAATGGTGCTTAGCAACATTATGTATAAGTAAGGTCCTGAATACCATTAAGGGAGGTTTCTTTAACCACACATAAACTTTAAAATAGTTCATGTATATCCATGCTGGTTCAAATGTCTATTTCAGGACAATTCATGGTCCTAACCTCAAAACTGTGTATGAGTCAGAATCTTTTAGCCATTTATAAACCTGCTCCTGGGACAGTTTCACATAAATGTCTGCTTTAAGTCTCAGAACACTACCTATGATTTTGTCAACAAGGTCTTTATCAACTTAGACCTTTATAGAATGTCACTCATCTCAAGATGCACTGCACATTTAAACCCATCTAATAGAATACTTTCATATTTTCAGTGTTGTATAATGCTATATGTTTGAGTAAAATACGATTTCTAAGTATTTGATAATTGTGTATGAGTCAGTCTTTCTGGTGTGCTAACTGGATTTTTTCCTTTTCATTCTGCCTCAGGTCTTGGACGTTTAGTGGACCAGAAAGCTGACATATGATGCCCATGAATGATGGATGATATCTTCTTGGTGCCAGTTGAATGAATTTTAAAGCAATGATACGGTAATTCAGTCCTCCCCACCCAGAATCATAGCAATTGTATGAAGAGCAGAGCAGAAAGTCTGTCTACCGCATTTCGCTCATAGATGGTCAGGCATCTATATACTGTTTTTATTATTATTATTATTATTTTTTCTTTTTTTTTCTTTAAACAGACCAAGGCTGGTTTTAACTTTGTCCTTTCAGCTCGCACTTTCAAATAAGGATAATTTCAGAAAGTGAAAAAATGCAGTGAGGAAACAATTTTAAAATAAATAAATATCTTCTTTATAAAAAGATGATGGTTTCTATAGAATAAACTAAACTGATAATGTATGTTTATTAACCATTATTTATACTGTAGGTGTTTTAAAAAATTCTAACTTTGAATACTTTATTTGATCTTTTTCTGGGATATAAATATATAATGAAATATAAATATCACCAACTCACAGGCCACCGTAGGTGGACGAAAAGCTAAAGCCGGCTAAAACCCACCTTAGCTTTGATTAAAATAGTATTGAAGTTTAAGGTTACTAAAGTGGAGGAGCTGTGATTCTGCTGCTGGTTTTTCTTTCTTGTCAGCATTGGTAGGGTGAATTAAATAAATTCTTACTAGGACGGAAAAATACACAAACTAAATTTGTTACACTCATCCATAAAATACAAAATTGAGTTCAACATTAGTTTCTTTCTTTCTTTCTTTCTTTTTTTTTTTTTTTTTACAAGACTAAAAATATGTGTTTCATGTAGTGTAACAAACAAACATTTATGGCCAAAATACCCCCCCAAATCCACTAAATAAACACCAAATTGTCCTTTTTTGATGAATATATGTATTGTGTTATCACGACTAAGTTGTACACACCCAATACGATGTGTGTGTTGTCTGTTTTTTGGGGGTAATGCAGATACCTTAGCTGGAGATTTGAGTTTGACTGTTGAAAGCTATGCAATTATTGTGCTGGTGTATGTCTGTGTCCCTACTGTAGTATGTAGGTCACCAGTATATTCCTGATGAAGTGTGGTCCTCTGGAGAACCCTACAGAGCCTAAATTAGATACTATTATCTCTCGGTGTGGGTGTGGGTGAGAGAAAGGAAAAGAGAGAAAGTGAGCGAGATAGACAGAGTTATCAGACAAGAGTCCCACAGGCATATGCTTTCGTTTTTGTGCATATATGTGTTTTTACATATCAGAGCAGTCTTGTAATTATGCTTGTCCATTTAGGTTTGTAGGTGTGCAATCGCATGCTATTTCAAACTTCATGCATGTGTGCATATGCTTTAAACTTAAACCCTAATCATCAAGCTAACTCCGTTCTTGTTGTAATGAACTTGTAAATTTAAATGCCAGTCCCTTATTTTTGGTGCTTGGAAAATGTGGCCTTATTGCGACATTATCTTGCAAACTGGCAACAGTAAATATTTTGACCTTAAGAAAAAAAAACAACAAAAAAACTGCAGACTCTTGCTTAGTGTGATTTTTTGAAAGGGTTTCTGAACTCCAAGCGACATAAACATTCATAGCAGTCAAAACAATTGATATAGGCTGTGTTATTTTTACCATTTGCTTGAACTTAAACATTCAAGGGGATATCTGTCATCGCTTGTTGAACACTGGATTCAAACTGTTTCACAAGGTTAAACCCCACAATACTCAAGGCAGCTTGGATGCTTTAAAATCAGTTTTCGAAATTAACATATCTCTTATTTAGCTTATATATAATTAACATCATTCTTCTAATTAGATTCCAGTAGGCGCTTTTTACTCATCAATCAGTAATGTTTGTTTTTGGCAAATCTAAAAGCTTTCTTTCCCTTTTTATTGCTGGACGACATTTGTTAGTGGAAATGCCAGAAGCAGCTATACAGTATATTTGAACCACCCTCCTTTATCAAAATATGTTATCTGCTATAGCAACTGATCCGGGACAGTGTGTTGAGACTCTGTGCAGCCTATAATCCTCTTTATTTCAAAATGTCTACATCTCTAGTCAGTCTACTGTCTGTTAAGTCACAGGGACAATACCACATATGGCCAATCTGTCAAAGCAATTTGGAATTTTTACCAGGGCTAAGCCCTAAAAGTTATACCCAACCTGAGAGGAATGAAAAGGAGTAAGAATGTCTGCCTTTGAAAGGCTTCATGCTTTGACCAAATCATATGCTGTCACTCCTATGCCTTAGAAGGCCTGCACTTTTCATCAAAGCCAATGATGGCTACCTTTCACAGCGCTGTCAAATACACCCTGTGAGCATCCCTCCCTCCTTTCCTTACATCCCCTCCCAAATCTCTTTCTTCTTCCCTCCAATGTCTACTACCCCTCTTCAGTGCTCCCCACAATCTACCATGCTCCTTGTCTTTAATCCCTCTATCCGGCTCTCCTTCCCCTCCACAATCAAGCCCTCAAATCCCTCCAGTTTCTTTCTATCTCTTTCCCTCTGTGTCTGTGTGACTTTTTTTCTGTCAAGGCAGATGAAACAAGAGAAATTCAAATTCATCACAGTAATCACCTGCCATACTAATCAACCACTATCATTCCTCCCTTGTGGTTGCAGGGCAGTGTTGTTGGCCTTTTTTTGGAAGGTTTATTTGCATATTTGTTTCCCCTTTGTTTCTTTTGATGAATTATTTACCATAGAGTGGAATGACAGTGGAGATCACTGATGATTGCTGTCATGGGTGATGCTCTTTGTAATTGTACTCCTTTTTCCTGATTTTCAATCAACATTTTTCGTTCAGACTGCAGATGACAAACAGTGGAAAAGAAGTCACCCATATATTTTTGCTTTTCTAGTGGAATCTTCCACTGTCTACAGGGAATATAGCTTCCGTTAATTTTGTAATGATTGCAGAGTTGGCAAATACCTAAAAAAAAGAAAGTGAGAAAGAAGAGATTAGTACAAAAATAACACAAAATATGCTCACACACCTCCTACACATAGGACTAGTTGGATAAAAACAAACACATTCTGTTCTGCGTTACCAAACTACTAAAGAGGCCTGATTTTAAGACAATTTACAAACAACAATAGTTCACTGAGGACATTAATGTTAGTTAAATTGAGCTAAATTGAGCCAGAAGAACCTTAAGAATCAGACCACACGTCAGTGCAAAAAAATATATATATATCTTTTGCAGTAATCATAGCAAGTTGTATCCTCATAAATGTCTTGATTGTAAGCTTCAATAGCTGTGTTCACAGTGTGTTACAACTCCAGTGCACACAAAGACACACACCCACACACATACCACCATCCTGTCCCCGTATTGCCCTATCCAAGAATAACAATACATAATTCATGTCTGAAAGTCTCGTCTGCAGACAAAAGTTGCCGTTTGCATTTATTATTTATTGAAAACAGCTCGCATGATGAATCCTTTTACAAACCGACTAAGCGCTGCACCTATTTCTTCCCCCTCGTGCTGTTTGTGTTTTGGTATGGATTTTTCTTTTTTAGTGCGTGGGCTCATTAGCTAAAATTGGGATGGAAGATTAAGAGAGAAATGGCAAGGGGAAAGGAGATATATTAAGGTGCAAGAGAGAGGCATTGTTTGAAGAGGGGAAATTGGGCCAAAGGATAAATAGATTAGTTTTTAAAAGGTATGAATAAATGAGGGATTTCAGTTAAAGAAGCTAATTAATTAAACAATGAAACCCTGTTGGGACATAGTTTCATTTAACATTTTAGGACTTCACTGGAAACATTTTCTGAACTGCAAGTTTAAATTAACTTCTTTGCATGCTTTTTATACTACTGGACAGGTTTCTCTAGTGTTATGGAGAGTCCTGTCTTGTGAACAGTTTTCTCTGCTATTCACTTGCTTAAAACAGGAATCATATTACCATCCTTTAAATCCACCAATTAATGAACCACTTAACATTCATGTGGAGTATGTTTTGCATTGACCACATTTGTGCACTAGTTACTGAAAAATCAGACCTAGAATACCTAAAGGTTTAACAATTCATTGAATAGTGTTTAAGGGGAAATATTACAGACGGATTAATGCTGGCAGTCAGACTGAGGAGGGAAAGGACCTTATGTATTTGTAATGGCTTCCCTGTGAAGAAATAAGGAATAGAATCGATTTGGGAGATTAGGAGATTTTTGTTCAGCAATGTACCTGACACTCCGTGCATGACCATCCATATGTTTTCCTGCCAGACTATGTGGTAAATCTATCCTGTTTTGATAGAATTATATTTTATAGAAATGGTGATTAGTTGATTAATTAGATGATTAGATACTGTAAGCTGTTTAAAATGTGGAGAAAGATATTGATGCTACACGTGCAATTCCTACACAGCTTACATACAAGTTTGTAAGAACATTTGTAAAAAACTTTGTAACGTTTCTAAGAATGCAGTTGTGAAAATGGAAAATGACTTTTGCGACATCATTCATTACTCCAATTGAACTTGTTTTTTCTGGGGATGCAAGAGGTTCCATGCTTTAGAATAGAATCGAGTATAATTCAACTTTATTGTGACAAGTACAAAGCAACAAAATGTAGTTTGCATCTATCCAGAAGTGCTATACAAGATATAAAAATGTATTTATATGTGTACAGAAAGTATGTATGTATTGACTATAAGTTTCTTACGGACTCACTAATATAAACAAAAAGCAGCAGAATATTATTAAAATGGCAAAACCTAATTTTTATTGTTAAAATATTGTATTTGAATACATTTGCTTGGACCAGAACCTTGCTTACATTATTCACAAACTTGACTAATTGTTTAATCGCAGTCAAGTTATGTTCTTTTACCAACAGTATTAACATTTCTAGCACATACACTCTCCTCTGCTGTTTAACAATAAAAACAGCAGAATGATAGAGTTTTTTAGATAGTGTTTAGCTTTGAAAGTGTATTAAGCAGTGATAAGTCAATCTCTGCTATTTACAAGTATAGTCTCAGTATAACAATTGTTATTAAGTTTGCTTTAAAAATAAATGAAAGAATTGGGCATCTGATTGTTTAAAAAGGTACATTTGTCTTTCCATCAAATATGGGCATTGGAGTATTTCTTTAGATGCCACAGGAACAAAAACACGTATTTCTTTACCAACATAGTAATGTGGAGATATATAATCGAGAATAAATAAAGAAAAAGTGAGACACATGTACCAAAGTATGTTGTTGCAAACTTAAAACCACTTGAACTGGTTACCAATAAGGAGGCTTATTTTAACAATTAACCGGTTCCTCTGTTACAGACCCCTGTCATTGTGGCCCACATTGGCAGAAGACCACCTCACAGGGATTTTCCTCTTCACCAGGTAACCACAAAGGGGGAAAGAATCATATTATCCACGTGTACAGTGCCGTGACCTGCCCACACACGTAAACCCTCTCCTCCTGCCGAGGTGCTGACCGCCACCACGGCAGGAAACCCACAAACGTGCACTCACGCATACCATATTGTCTTTATGGGGTGTTATACACCACTGACCACCAACACAGGGGCTCAGTGTTCCCTAATCCACACCGTGTCTGAAAAGACGGCTCCATGCAGTGGAGGGATTACATTGTTGGATTAATGGGAGTTTTAATTTGAGTCATTGTTGGAACTCTTGGCTGTAAGAATATGTGCGGAAATAATACTAATACTTTTTGAATAAAATTAAATGTGAAATGACTTCAGCTTACATGTCTAATTTATTTTGTAACTGAAAACGAATAAAGAAAGTAAAGTAACTCTGTTAGATAAGGAAACTTTATATTACAATGAGACACATACTGTAATATTATCTGAAATTATCAGCCTAAACTTTGATATGGAGATAAAATGTGATACAATTAAAACTCTAACTCTATAAAGTATGAAAAGAAAAAAGCATAATGGCCTTTCTCCTCTTTAAAGTAGTTTAGTCATTTTACGATATTTTTTTCCTCAATTGAAGCAGAGTAAAAACCACTTAAAAATACAACTGACGAACTGGATCATTAGTATCAGATGGTGTATTGTTGTATATGTATTATTCTTGCTTATCTCTCTCCCCATTGTTATAAGCACAAATCTAGTAATAACAAACTTCTTTAATGGAAATGTATGGCTTCTAAAACAGATAAAGGATCAAATAAGCACTGATGCTACAAAGAGTTGCTAACAAGTGATCATTGTTGATTTCCTAGGAGTTTTGAGGTAATTTTACTTAAGTAAGAGTAGCACTGCTTCACCATGTCTTTACTCAATTAAAAGTAAAACATAATCATTCAAGAAACAACTAAAAAGCATTTGGCTAAAAAGCTACTAATGTACCTTGCAATTGACCTGTCTAAATTATCTTAACATAAGATTTGATATACAAAAAATGTTAAATAACAAGACATATGATGTGATGTGAACATTCTAGTGTTTCAACGAATGAGACAAAAAAACTAAATATATAACTTTGGGTAAATACAAACATTTCAGCTGGAAGAAACACTAAAAATATTTTTAATACACTTTTGTTAATACAGTTTGAGTATGTGTCCTCAGACTAACATTTTTACAGCTGCATTTCTGTAGTACAGTTACAGTAAATACAAAAACAGGCTGATAATGTGCTAAAAAAACACAAGCAAAACCTCTTCAAGGCTAAATGCAAATATAGAATAGGCCACTCTGATGAGCATTGTTGGGAGGAACATGCAGGTGTATGTACATCTCAGACAGAACTACAGCAGGATTTACATCCGTTGTAATGTTGTTCTTAGCACCCATTGATCAATGTGATAAATACAATGCAGACTTAGTTCAAAAGAGGAAACTTTTTTCATTTCCATACAGAAAGCCCATATTCTTATTTTCAGCTTCCACAGTATACATGTCCGATTAAATAATACTACTTATACTTCAGCGATAGTACCAAGGTTTTACTATATTGTATCTCTTATACTATATCTATTGGTTGTGCTGTTCTTTTCACATCTCTTTGCAGATGATGAATCAGACTAAAGATGTTTTATTGTTATCTCCCTCTCATTACTTACATTGCAGTGTCCATATAATCTGTAATACTCCATCCATGAATCATAATGAATCTATTTATATGCATAAATCAAGCAGAACACTATGGCGATAGCCGTACTGCTCCACCTGTGAAAGCATATCGGTTGGGCTCTTTTTTTAGCATAAAGACAAATTTTCTTATTGCCACATTGCCAGACAGGACACTGCAAAATAAATAAATAAAAAAAGAGGTAACTTTTTAATTTCCTTATAGGGTGTTGCTGTATTAGGTCTCCCATTTTTTTGTATCCAGACGAAATTTCTTCTGTTTTCTTCCCAACTCACTGGATTTAATCCACCTATAAAATGTAACTTCTTATGAACTAAAATTTGCACTGAAGACATTGCTTCTAGCCCTCTTTCTTTTGGATGGACATTGTGTTATCTATATGAATAGAGTTTAGCTTTCCCTACATTACGTCACCTTTTAGCAACCTTAGGATGCATTCTTAGGTGCCTGAAGCTCACCCTTTATTTAATAATTTTTTAAAAAAGGAACAATTTTAAAACATTGCATTACATTAGTTCCCTCAAATGTTTTTTAATGTCTTCAAAACATTTCTAACTAAATTTCAGTTTAAAAATTCCTTAATGTTTCATTCAGTACTATTCTTAACCCTTACGTAGTTTTACTTACGTAGCCTTCAAGTTAGTAACTAATTCAAGTAAAGAGAGTATATATAAGATGGCTATTATCTAGCTAAATACAAACATAAATACTCAGATATGTATTTATTGTTATAAAATGGGAAATAAAAAGAGGAAAAACTTCATCCCACTTAGGTTGGATAAAGCATATTAAATTCTATATTTATGGGAAGGGAATACCTAAGCAAACTTCCAGTCATTTTTTTTTTTAATTAATCCCAAAATGGAAATAATAGCATTACTAAGCTCTTTTTTGTAAAATATTTTTATACTTCAATTTAAATATGAAATTTAACAAAAGTCAATAGCAGTAAAAAATAAAGTGCACAATCATGCATTTCATTCCTCTGTTTTTCATTTAAAGCTGCTGGAACAAGTGAATTTCATTATTAAGATTAAATAAAAACACTTCCACAATCAGCTTCTGGCTAGACTGCTGTTTTCCCCGTCTCAAACTGAGAATGACTGCTGAGTTTCACATGCAGGCCAGACTGTATTTATTTAGATAATTAAACTGTTTTATTCTTTAGGCTTTTAACTTTAGTGTTGACAGCTCTGGTTTTTAAGGAGCAGTTCAAATTAAGTTCAAAATTAATTGAAGAGTTGAAGGCAAAATTTTCAGCTTATGTTTCTGTTAAAGTCATTCTGTCTTTGTCAACAGTGAGGAAGCTTTCTATTAAAATAGCTTCATAGAAAGTCGGAGTACATAATGAATTCTTGAACACAGACCCTTTTCTGTATTTTCCCTTACATTTACCTTAAACCTTAGGCTGTATGCAGATATTTCTTTTTGGTTTGTCTGGTCTGAGTTTTATTTGGACAATTTTAGCCATGTACAGTACACCAGATAGCTATCCATTGCAGGGTTTCCTTCACAAATAAGGCTGAAACTGAAAGGATAAACAAAGAGGAGGTAACATGGCATGTCTTTATGTCCATGGCTTGAAACATTAAAGGTGTTATGCAGGTGTGATATAAGTAGGGCTGGTAAATTAGTTATTTAATTAAAACAATATTCAGATTGCTATATATTGTTCTATGGGAATAAATTGAGTGTTTAGTAATATGCAAATGTCTTATATATAACTGCTGATACTTCGGTAATCTTTCAACTTTGACAGAGCCCCAGCAATCAAATCATATATGTCATTAATACAACACAGAAAGAAACCAAGGTTTTGACAGCCATTTATTTTATCTGTTTAGAGGTCAAGTTTACAAACGACTACTCTTCACTACTTTTTGAAGATATTTCAGGAATATACAACTCCTACCAGTGTGCCAGGGTAAAAAAAACAGCTATGGAAATGTTCCAAAGCACTCAGCAGTCTCCATGTTCATGCAAAGGCCTACACCTTTGAAAGGGATTCAATAAGTGTCTTTGTCAGCAAGAATTTTTTTTTGTAACAACAATAAATAAGTAAATCCCAGAAAAGCCTTGAAATTATAATCAAAATTCTTCACACGAACAAAGTTGTGGGTGAACATTAAAGGTCAACAGATAGCAGTTCAAAGGTAAAGCTGGTGATGTCATTTTTTTCTCAGTGAAGTCATTTCCCCGGCTAAGCCAATAGCATACATCAGATGCAGTAACCCTTAAAAACCTGCGGAGGGCACTAAAAAGATGGTTTTAAAAACAAAAGCAGGATTTCTCCAAATGTACATATGTAAACAGGCATTTCATTCTAGTTGTGATGGTTGTTGCTATCTACCCTACAACGTGATTCCAAAAGGATGTATAATAATACCAGGTCTAACATGACCTGTACCCACCTCACTTGAGGTAGCTTTAATCACTAATTTAGTCTCAGTTTAGGGGTGGATGATGCAATTCTTACATACTAATACAGAAACCAACCTGTGTTCTTAAAATATAAACATTATTTTATATTATTTTAACAATTAAAGAACTAAAGCCCCACAGTTTTTTTACTCACAGTTAAAATTGTCTGACAAGAAGGTCCTGACAGTTAATTAAAACATTTTTTTTCTGCATTTCATCTTTCTTTTTCAATGTGTTTTTACAGACTGCTATTTCATCACTTAAATTGAATCACCAGCATTGTAGAACTATGATGCTTGCTGTATTTTCTTCCAATCGTGTGGAAGAACAGTTCTCCTAAGGGTAGGAAATAAGTCTGTTAATCTATCCCAAGATGGATTTACTTTCAGACTGCAATAAAAATTAGGATGAATCCTTCCTAGCTCTATTTTTTTTAACCCTGAGCATCTGAACCTGAAATTCAATGTCAGACCGATCATCCCTCACACCTGTATTCATGCTGTCCAGCCTGATCCAGAACACTCAAGGTACATATTGGCCATATAGATCTAAGTATAGTAGTAGTCTATAGTTAGTGGAGGAATATATATTCAATGCAAGGCACTAATCAATTACATGACTTTAGCTGCTTCCTTTTTAATAATTAGTATTGTAATAATGTAGTTCTATTTTTTCATGTTTTTTGTTTTTAATAATAAAAAAAAATACAATATGAAAATGTTTATTTCAACAATTTTAACATTCTAAAAATGTAAACTGTCAAATATTCATGATTGGATAAATAGAAAAGATTGTGCGTCTTAACTGGCGAATCCTAGCCTCTTCTCTAAAGCACCTTTTCAGGCTAGAACATATACAGACTCAAGCTGAATATAGTCACTGAAATAAAATTTTTCATGCACTGAATTTGGACGTGCTTCAGAATCAGCAAATTGGAGCATCCTTGTTGATATGGTGATGCCTTTGGCAGTGAAAATGGCACGCCTTGAGATTATGCTAAAAAAATACACATTTGAAACACAATCTGATGCTGTGAGGAGGAAATAGGGGCTAAATTGGCACATTTTGCCTTCTTAAGCTAATTGTGCTTGCTATTGTGAGGGCGTTGCAGGATGACAGATTTTTGAGGGCTGACACATGTTTTTGGAGGAGTTTAAAATTCAAATGCTCCTTGTGTATGAATACAGGCACCTGGGATACTAAAAAAAGAAAAAAAAAAAACCTCTCTTTACCCTCCCTGTCCCTCCCTGTGTTGCATACAGTATCTTTTCTGTCGATATTCATGTCTGCAGAATGATTAAGTTTCCCTTACTGGGAAAGAAAATCTAATGCTGCCAAATTTTTAAAAATACTTTTCATATAGTAAGACAGGATTTATATCTGTTTGAGCTTCTGGGTATGGCTGATCTCTGAGCTATTAAAATTTCATTCAATGCTAATACCCTCCCACCTACCTCTTCCATCTCCCTTTTCCAGTCTCCCTCAGTGGAATTTTCATATTTGCTATAATATATATCTTTGTGCCAGTTTACATCATTATATTGTCACATGGGTGTGATCCATCGTTCCTCTCCATCTTTGTTCATTTCGTTCCCCCTTTTGCTCTGCGTTGCCATCCCTTTCTCACTTCTCCCTCCCGAATTCTGGCATTGAACTGAGGTAGAAGAGAGCCTGCTGTTTTTCTGACACACTCTTCCTGTCCTAAATCAAAACCAACTGAGGCAAAATCAGGTTATTACCTTAGCTGTGTTTTTTTTTTTCCCTCTTTCCCTCTCAACCGTTCTTCCATTTTTGCTCAAGGTCTATGAAATCTTATACTTTAAAAAAAGAAAGGCCAGCTGCTTGCTGAAATGAACGGGTGTGAGCTAGATTTGAAAGGGGATGGCTGCATAAATAAGCCAGAAAAAATAAATACTGGAGTAGGAGATGGATATCTGACAGGGTGGCCAAATATTTGTTACCTTGTGGGGACAGTGGAAGCCCAGTTTCATTGCTACATGCTACATTGTTGGGTCTTAAAGATACTTGTTTGGACCACTGAACTGGTCCCTCATGAGGAAAACTTCTCTTCTTGGGTTAGAGGTTAGGTTTACGTTGTTGATTAGTTCAGATTAGGTTTAGGGTTAGGTATGTGTTGATACTGTAATTGTATGGGTAAGGTTCTGCCTTAGGCCATACAAATGAATGTGAAACAAATAGAAGTCAACACAAAGTCCCTGTAAGGATAGTGAGATACAATGCACCTGTGTGTGCATATCATTGTATGCATCCAATCAGTACACTACTACTAACATATGAAGTGGCATTTATGTGATCATGTTTTTTTAGTTATGTTGTTGATCACAAAATGAATATAGAACAAAAAATTATATTCCTCTTCAAATGGAAATTAAGTTAACATGTGTAAGAAGAAAACCTTCTTTAGGTTGTGAGAATCCAGGGTGGTCCTTGTTCACATCCTAATGATCGCAAACAAGATTTGAACACCTGTGCTTGATGCTGTGCATTTTTCTGGAAATGTTTAAAAACAGTGCATGAGAGTCAAAGTCTTAGCACTCTATATATGGTCCACTACAAGAATATTTATATAAGTGCTTTGCTCATTCTTTAACATAGAAAAAAAAAGACTGATTTCATGCTACAGTGTCTGCACTGATGCGTATACTCTTATCTTCATAGGTTGGTCTTTTGATAGTATGCAGATCCTGTCATGATCTGGGTCTGTAGATATGAATTGTGTGAGTTCCTCTTTCCACAGAGGTGTTGCTGTCGATCACTCGCCTGTCTGCAGTTTCCTCATCACACTGTTAGAGATTTGAGATGTCGCAGGACAACCGTTATTTGCTTAATGCTTAGCCCAATCTGAGATTGTTTTCTGAAGAATCTATTTTAGTTAACTTATGTTCCACAAACTCACTATTTGTCTTCTTTGTCTCCAAGGTTGCATGTCTTCTGTTGGCTTCCACGACCAGTCCAGGTCAAGACTACAAACACCTCTTTGACTGATCTCGGCAAAAATCCTTCTGCTGTCATCGAATTGCTCCACCATCCTCAGTCACCTGGCTGCCCACTGCTCAATATCATTTTTGTTAAGGTTTCAAACATTCGTCTGATCACCTCCCAATAAAACCCGACCTGGATTTTAACGTCATACAGAGCAGTCTTCATTCTACAACCAGTTTTCTAACTTTCCCTGAAAATTATCCACTGAATACAGAACAACCTATCTAAAGACACATTACAGGAGTCTTTCTGTTTGCAGTCATCTTTGTTGTAAATCACAGACCACTTTCTGGTGATATTTCTCAATATTGAATTAAAAGTTGAATGCTATATTTTCTTTTTATCTTTAAATACTAAACAAAGATGAATAAAAAAGGCCATAATTTTTCAGCAAAAGCAATAGTAATACCCAAAAGTGGCATATTAGAATGATCACACATTCTTCAAAGCTGTGATACGGTTCCACAAAGTTTGCACCATTTCTTAAGTTTGTACTGTTAGTTTAATTTGATTAAACCTGAAAATCACATTATGGTAAAAAAGTGTTAGAGCAGCTTAGGGTTCAAATAGCAGGTGGCAGTCGTGAATATAACAATAACCCAAGGTAGTTTTTTTTGTTTAGTATTCATAAAAAACAAACTTGGATTTAATGATTCCGCTCTGAGAGCAGTTAAGGGTTTATGAAACTAACTGTGATAATTTCAAAAATGGGATACTTAGTTTTCTCAAAAACTGTTAAAGCATTGCTGCCTCTTGACTCTAATCCTGACATCAGTCTACAGCAGGTGGCCTCGAGTACTAACATATTTCTACCCTACAATAAACATTGAGTGTTTTAATTCTTAATATTTTCTTATGAGGAGTAAATTTTTTTGCAGAATGCCAGGAACTGGTGTGTTTGCCCCTGTGAGGTTTGCAGAATGAAACAGCTCACTGTGAATGCCATGTATGCAAACACTACACTGTAAGTACGTAGACACATAGCAGGGAATTGCGGTAAAAGAAAAATGTTTAAAAAGTAGAAAACAATTAATTGAAAATTTTTAAAACTTTTTCAGGGATGACCAGAGGAGAGTGGTAAAAGGTTAAAAACAAATCGCAATAATTTAATATCAGACACGGGTGTGTAGATAGTAGAAAATATTGGAATAAAATCATGTTAAAAGACAATTAAAGGTACATCCTGAGTAAAAATAAGAACATTACTGCAATTTTAGAATTGAGAACAAAAAAAAATAAAAAATAAATTAGAGATAAGGTAGTCTGGGTTGGTACTGGGTGTAGAAAAATGTAAAATATTATACAATCTTGTAAAAAAAAAAAAAGCTAAATATTACCCTTCTTTGCAATGCCAGAGAAGTCAATTGTCATTTCACTGGATGTGTTTAAAGTAATCTAATAAAAAGTTGTAATATACTATCAATAATTTTTTTATTTCATCGACCAAAGATATTTAGAGGTATGATTGAAGACTGATGGCTTTTTCAAAATGTGTGTTCTAATGTGTTGGTATACATGATGATTTTCAAATTCTACCAGGTGTTGAGCTTGAAAGGAGATATTTATTCAATCAAATAATGAAACCATTTCTTGAAATGAATGAATTATAAGATGACAGTCAGCAAAACATTCTCCATCTCTTCTGAAAACAGTTGTATTAATTGTTTCTAGGAATGGTTTGTACTAATTGGTATCAACTTGAGTGACACACAGGTTAATATATACTGTATGTTTTTCAATAATTACTTTTTAACTATAACAAAAAAATAAAAGCCATGACTATAATCTCTACAGTTTACAGATGTGGTTTGTCTTTTAATGCTTCAATTTACATTCATTGATAATCATGAAGAGATTTAACTGTTTTTTTTTGTTTGTGTTTTTATACGATGCATGGATTGATGCCAAACAGGCAAGCTTAAATATGAAATGTTTTAACACAACCTGAATAATTTTATTGCCTAAAAGATTTTTTGCTCTGACCTGTGTTCAAAACCCTGAATTATGTATGAAAGAAAAGCCTTCAGTGACCCCTGCATAAGGATCAAACCAATTACGTTTTTGTTTGGAATGCAAAAACTATTGATCCAGTGCCCTGCCTCTGTTTTTTTTTTTTTTTTTTTTTTTTTTTTGTAGCTTGAGAGAAAAAAAAATCCCTTTTATCTGTTATTTCAAACCTATTTCACTTGTGCTGTTTGTGGGTGTTCTTTGTATATTCAGGTGAACCAAAATCAAAAAGAGTCACAAGATCTTTAATAGCAAACACTGTTCAGGTGGAAATAACTCAGTCTGAATCAAACATTCATTTTACAAATTTGATTTAGAACCTCAACAAATTTGGGTCAAGAATTGATGAAAGAAATTAATTCATGACTTTCACAAAATCCTGTCAGTTCCTCAGATCGTGGTGGGGCCTAAACAAGACCGCTGCATTCATCCCAGAAGCCTCAGCTCTTTCACCTGTGCAAATTACTGTGTGTAAACAGACAGGATTGTGCTAGTTTCATGTGGTTAGCCACTTCCCCAGCTGGGACTGGCTCTGCTCAGGAGAAATAAGCCATTTCCTGCTCACTGAGGGAAAGATATGCCCAACTGTAACACACTGTAATTTTTTCCAGATGGTGGGAGGATTTTATCTTGTTGGAGATTGTGCAGTGCTCAACAGGACACATGCTCACTAATGCAAAAGCCTAAACACATACTTTTATTCACGATACTTAAAAAAAAATCTGAAACAAGTTTGTTTTATGATTTTTTTGAAAAAGTGGAGCAAAATGTTAGGTTCTGCATGATGCATCTCTCTACCAACTCAATTACCAATTAAAGCAACTTTTAAAATAATCATACTCCTTTTAACTTTCTTATACACCTAATCATATTTAAGCTATAAACATGATACATTTTAAATATTTGACCAACACAAAGTAGAATTTGAAGGTAGCGGGTATATGACACATAATTTTCAAAGGTTTTTCTTACTAAAAATATTGGTAAGATTGTGTGCTTTATATTTATATTCAATTATATTTAGTCACTTTTTCTAAGGAAGAATTGCATTTAAAGCTGCTATAATTAAATAAAGTTATTGAAGTTTAGCTGCAGCATGCTTTATTGTAGGAAAAAGATTATATCTCTATTAAACAGAGCTATCTAAATATCTATCCAGCTGTTTGACCTTTTGACTTTTGCCAAATTTCAGGCTTCAAACATAGATATGAAATTGCAATTTTTTTTTGAAAAATTAACAAAAAGTGGGACATAATCATGAAACGTAACGTACATTTATTTGATGTTTTAAACTTTTTTAACTAATAAAAAACTGAAACATTGGGTGTGCAGCATTGTTCAGCCCCATTGAGTTAATACTTTGTAGCCTCACTTTTTGCTGTGATTACAGCTGCAAGTTGTTTGGGGGACGTCTCTATCAGTTTTGCACATTGTGAGACATTTTTTTGTCTTATTCTTCCTTGCAGAACAGCACTGTTGAAAGATTGCTTATAAAATTGATAAGACATGCAAACCTGTCTTGTCCCACTATATTGAAATAAGCAGAATGTATCCTCTACTGGTATTTTACTAAAGTTAGGCCAAGCTTCACATAGCAATTCAGGACAGAAGGAGCAGCTGTCAGATTTACAGCAGGTTGCTTTTAAAACAGCTTGATTTACCACAGTAAACTCCTCTCAACAGCCGCTTGACCCAATACATTTAAAAAATGGTAGATAAAAAAAGATATTAATAACTGCTTCATACAGAGCCTGTTATAGAACATTGAGGGAAAAAAAGATTCCTCTTACCACAGGTAAGGGATGCGCTCTTTTAAGTATCAGAAGCTCTCTGCATTGTTTGGCATTATACTGCAAGTATTTTTCTGAATAGGTTTGAACCTCACTTTGAAAAGTGCTGAATATGACAAAAAACTGCAGCCACAGTTGAGTGTTAGATAAAAAAATAAAATAAAAAAAATTGGAAATGGGAAATGTTTAGATTTGTATATCATCCACCCATACATTTGTGCAAATAGTTTGCATACGGTTTAAGATGCACAAATTTGAAGATCAGCCCCTAATAGTAAGTTATCCAAAAGGTTATTGAAATTTTTTATCAAAATGTTTTACATTCCTTTATGTTTGGAGTTGTTAATTGGTTTGCCATTTATAGCTTTTAAAGAAAATTCAGCCACATTGCAAATTTCTCAAAATAAACTGTGTTTCTTAAACATCCATCAATTTTCTGTCATGCTTGATTTCCCCTTGTGATGCTGGTGTCTACAGTATCTCCAGCTGTCAGCGGGCAAAAGGCAGAGTACACCCTGGACAGGTTGCCAGTCAGCCAAACAACCATTCACACACACACTCACACCTAAGGAGAATTTAGAGAAAGCAATTAACCTAACAGCCATGCATGCTCAGGGAGAACATGCAAACTCCATGCAGAAAGACCCTGGACCGGGAATCAAACCCAGAACCTTCTTGCTGCAAGGCAGTAGTGCTACCCACTGGGCAGCCTCTGTGTTTCTTAAACATTCAAATTCAATTATCTTATCACTGCACCAATTTAATGGTTATAATTACATTTTTGTTTAATCTTGTTGTTTTCTCATGGTTTCTCCATTTCCTCTTCATTTTTACTGAGTATTTTAATTGACTGTTACAAGCTTATTTAAAAAGTTTGTTGATTGAATTATTTTAATTTGAAGTATGTTTTAATAAATTTTTGCATTTTACAATGAGGTTGTTTGTGTGTTTTTGTGTCCACACAAAGCGGCAGGGAAGCTGACAACATTTGATACTTAGCGCCATTCTTTATGGCAGATTTATGCAGAAATCTAAACTGTTTAACCGGCTGCAAAATGGTAGAGTTGAGAATGTGATCCAAAGTAGGACTCACCACTCTCTTTACATGCATGCACCAATCCAAACAACAAGAATAATGGACTCCTGAGCTGCAGTCGAGTTTCAGGAACTATTCAACTTAATATGGTTTTATACTTACACATTTTGCTCTTCTAAGGCATTTTTTTGTGGACTGGGTCTCTTCATGTCAAAATTTTCTGTACAGATATGGTCATTGGCTCTTTGTGAACATGTTCTTACTGTCAATCAAGTTTAATGGTTGTGACAAGACAAAATGGAAAACTTTAAAGGGATAGTAACACTTTTGAAAAGAAACTCAAGTATGTGAGTAGTGAGGTTGAAAGGTTCTTTAATCAGTATGTTGTCAGTTATAAAGATCAGCACACATTTACCATACTTTAATGCCTGTACTATTGTCTTTAAATGTTCCTTTAAATCTTAAATCACTCTGAAATTTGGAATCGAAAATATGCACCATTTACATGTTTTTAGGGCTTTCAAGAAATCTACTAGCAAGATTTCTGAAAATATATTTTTTCTGAAATAGATTTTATATGAACAGATTTCCAAATATTGTTTTTCTTCTTTTATATATATATATATATATGCCACTTCACAAATGTAATGAAATGGTCACTTGTAAAGTTTTATTACATACAGTACTTTTTACGTAGGATACCAACATTTGTAACTGTGACTGTATATCCTACCAACATGCTTTTTAACGGAAGCATTACTGCAAGGTTATTTAGACCCAGCTCAATTCACCCTGCCTGACCTTGTGCCACGAGTGTGCACATTACAGTATGTGTGTTTGTGGGATGAAGTAGCATTCCAGACAATGTGAGGGCATGTCCAGGCTAATCCTCAGGCCGTAACACAGACAGTTGGGTTTCCATGACCTCAACTTCATGCTGTTCAGGCATACTCTGAGTCTTACACACACGCACACACACACATGCACATTATTGGTGTTTTTTGATGCGTTTATGCTTTGCCTGCTGGCTATCGCGTTTCATTGATGTATACACTCTCCAAACTGCAATATTTTCTGCTGCTGTGTAGTTTATTATTTACCCATCAAGGTAAAAGTGAATGTTCTGTAATACCACAGGTATTCTGTCATCCCCAGAACAATTATGTCAATTAGCTCACATTAAAATGCTTTACAGAGACAGTTTCCTTTGCTAATAGCAGTCCAATGAAGTGACAAGTAAGCAATTAATATCACTCTAATTGCTCAGTAGGTAAAGTCAATCAGTCACTATTAGCTCACTCTGTGCTTTATTCCTAGCTGTCAGCATGCACTCTGCATTCAAAAATCTCACTCACCACTTGTCAATCAAACATAAATTTACCCTTTCTCTCCTCAAGGGAAAGAGTTGAGTTCCATTA